CGAGACTCTGGAGTATTTTCATATCCTTTAGAGGAGTTCCGAAACTGTGCTTTCCCAAAGTTCTTCTTGTTCTTCTTTTTAGCATCCGGTTCAGCCTTGCTCTCCTTCACCGAGAAGTCGGAACTGGGAACCGACATGGATTCTTCAGCAATAATGAACTGTTGAGCTCGCACAAGAAACTCTTGAAATGTAGCAGGCTTATTTTGACACAGGGTCCAACGAAACATTGAGTTGGGCTTCAGTCCAGCAATAGCAGTTACTAACAAAGTTTCAGGATGACAGGGCTCCATGTTCTGAATTCGGTCGTTGAACCGAGCCACGTAGTCTTTAACAGTCTCGTCGTCCTTTTGCACAATGTTGGTAATCGATTCTTTCGGAATGAGACAAATTTGAGCACCGATAAAGTGTGATCGGAAAGCTGCACATAACTGTTGCCATTTCCAAATCGAATGAGGTGGGAGAATATAATACCATTTTTGGGCTCGTGGCCCCAGTGTAAGTGAAAACATCCGACACCTCAGAGCATCTGAAGCCCCATGTAAATCCATCCAAGACGCATAATGGCCTAAATGTGCATCTGGATCTGATGTTCCATCATACATGCCGATTTGCGGGATTTTCACTTTCACAGGGAGTGCCTCCGCAGTAAGTTCGGGGGCTAAAGGAGAATCCGCCTCGACAATAACATTTCCCGACGTCGTGACATGTCGGGGTGAATATTCTTGTGACTTCTGTCGCGTCTCAAGTTCAGCCAAACGTTTACGAAGGGTTTCAATTTCCTCTGCACTGTGTCTTGAAAGTCGATTCCGTTCAATTTGGCGTCGCAAATCTTCGCGAGCGTGAGGTGCTGACGAAATGGGTCTAGGACGTGGCGAAACTCTCTGGTGATGAGCAGAATGACTTTCAGCAGTCATCTCCTGCACATGAGGTTGATCCGGGACTTGATTGTTCACTGCGAGATTAGTAGTTACATGTGTCCGCTCTTCTCGACGTGGAGAAGTATGATGAGGTTGCGACGTAGCATGTGATGTCGCTACATGTGTTCCATGGTCATGATGAGTGTGGGTTGGATGTTCTGTTGGGTTAGTAGTTAACGGCATCGATAACTGTATCGTATTCGAGTTCCTGGGCATGGCTCGAGCTATTAGTGAAGTCAAACCTTGGATAAACTCCGGATTTTGAAGAAAGTTCGTGACATTCGTGACTGGAGGAGGTGGTGTTGCACGCCGTGGGGAATGGTTAGTCGATTGGCTCTGGCCAGGGTGAGTTACGTGGTCTCCACCAGACTGCGACATGATGGTTTCGAGCGTGAAAATGACTTAAAGGCGAAAGTTAACTTAAAAACATGAACGCCCCCGCCCTCCTTCTACCGCCAAACTGTTGTCAAATGAGAATTAACAACAATATAATTGATGTAGGTTTGAAGTAAACTCAGCATAAATCAGCAGGAACTTGTATAGTTTAAAAGAAGGTGGAATTTCTTTATGAATATTATTATTGTACGTGTATATCTCTCTCTGGAGAATTGTTTTTCTCCTTTTATATTTATGTACAACATTTATCCGCATAGTAATCATTACATTTGAAAGGTCAAAGGCGGCTCCTAGCCACTTCTCTTGATAACTCGCCACTTGGACAAACGTAATGATGATTTATGCTGAGTTGTCGCCGCCTTACAGTGCTGAGATGGCACATTATAGATATCGGTTCATCCAGTTATAACCGATATGTTGTATCCGACATGTATTGACCGACATGTGATGACCGACATGAGATATCGGTTAAGTAAAGTAATGGAGATGTCGGTTCTTGTTGAATCTCTCGTCATGCAGTCGTCTTGAAGTCGGTGGAAGTGTCACGTACTTGTACAAATTTTAATTATCCTCATACTGACCTTAATCGGCTGATCAATGTCACTTAATTTGGTTTACTGAAAATGATATCAACACTCTTTTTTTCATCTTGTTCTCCATTATCTCAATCATTTCCTCATCAACTATTTTCTTCAAATGAAACGCAGTTCAAATTAAAAATATTGTGCACGGCCTCAAGGTAGCAAATGAAGGTAGGCATGAGAAAAAAAATATAATAATTGTGTTTAATTTGTATTATTTGTTAATTAATTGCTTATTTTCTATCAATTTTGTTTTCATTTGATGACTCTGGATCGAGAGGAAGAAACAAGAGGTGGTGAAAAGCAAAACCCACAGTAAGTATAATTGTATCTTTTCATTTATTTATATTAATTTTGTCCTGTTTTTGTTTATATTTAATTGTGTCTCTCGAGTAGATGCTGCTCGCTGGTGGCGATGACGGGTAGTGAACGGACGCCGACGGTGGTTGCAGGCCTCTCGTGTTCGGTGACTTGCTGATGGAGATCCTCGGCGATGGTTGCGTGTTCGGTGACTCGCTGAATTTATTTTATATGTACAATATATATACATATACTGGGATATGTACAATTATTGTACATCTTAATTTATGTTTAGTATATTAGTTTATGTACAAATTAGTTTTTGAATGAATGTATGTTTTTTTTTTTTGTTTTCAATGTTTATTCATAGTTTATGTTTGGTATATTATAAGATTTTATCGACAAAGCATAAACATATTTTTTATTTTCGTTTATATGTATGGTTTATAGTAAGTTTATTTTCAGTATATGATAAAGAAATTTATCGCGAGACAAAGCATAAACTGATTTATTTTTTCTTTTTTTTTTTTGTATATGTATGGTATATATTCAGTATATTTTCGATATATGATAGAGAAAAAAGAAAAAAAAAGGAAGATACAATTTTTTGATGGAAGACATTTTTTTTCATTGCAACATATACTGAATATATACTAACATAAACGCAATATATACCACATGACAACTGCGTGAATTAAGGAATTCTAGTTGCCCACATATACTGAATATATACTAACATAAACTTAATATATACCATCTGACAGCTGCGTGAATTAAGGAATTCCAATTGCGCGAATTAATTATTTATTTTTATTTCTCGAATTCTAGCTGCGCACATATACTGAATATATACTACCATAAACTTAATATACACCATCTGACAGCTGCGTGAATTAACAAATTTCAGTTCCGCGAATTAATTATTTATTTTTATTTCTCTCTTTTATAAGTCAGCGATAATTAAGGATAAAGCGTTTTATTTGTATGGTTATTTACATGAGGTATACTTCTAATAAAATCCTAGATTTTAAGTATAGATACAATTAAATTTGTCCAACTCGTAAAAATGCAATATCTAGAAAAATGGTTCATTTTGAAAAAAAAAATAATAATAATATTTTCGCTTTTTACAAATTTAAAGAAAACATATATATTTTAGGTAGTTGATGGATATCTTGATAACTCCAATTAAGACATATATTAGGTAGTTGATGATCATCTTTATAACTCAAATTAAGAAAAAATGGAGTCATATGTATATATATATCTATATATTATTATCTTTTGCTAAATTAGGCAAATCAATTTCAACACATGTCATTTTCTCTCTCTTAAGACTTTAATGATTGGCATAAATTAAGGATATCAGTTACCATTTATTTAGGTAACTAATAAATAATGGTAACCTCAATAATGGTAGATATATAATATTTTCACTCAGTTATGGCACATATCCAAAAAAAACGTGGTGAGTGGTAAATCTGCAATACTTTGCAATTCTTACGGGAAGAGTGAAAATTTCCCAAAAAAAAAGTAGACAGAAGTTGAGGCTAGATATGGCCGGGCCAAAAGTTGGACGGCCTTGAACGGGTCCGAACATATGCACGGGCCAGGTTAGTGAAAAGTCGGTATTGAGTTTACCCAGTTCGTTAACAAAATAAAAAAAGGTCAAATCGTCGATTTAAGAGCCAGGTCAAACCACAGGCTCGGTTCAAGGCCCGTTGACCACAGATCGGTTCGGGCCCATTCGGCCCGCGACCATGTCCAGTTGAGGCGCGCAATTGCAGATTCTCTTTAAGACGATATTGCTTCATTAATATATACCTTTGGTTACTCAAAGAAAACGTGGTTTGTTTTTAGAATGATATTGAGATTTTTCTTAATATCATTCTAAAAAAAATATATATATTTGAATTTGAATAATCTCCTCTCGTAACCGATCGAGATTTATTAGCACTAGTTTTGTTTCCGAGATTTAATTTTGGAGATCTCCGAATTTCAGGCGGTTCATGAGATATTTTGAATTTTTAACTGCCCAAACTGGTTCATTAGATATTTATTTGAATTTTTAACTGCCCAAACTGGTTCATGAGATATTTGAATTTTTAACTGTCCCGACTAGTTCTCAGTCCTACTCCACTACAAAATGAAGTAGCAGAAAGTAAGCATAGATATTTGTGTTGGTGTGTTGTTTAGTTCTTCTTTTTAGAAGTGTGATTCATTTTTGTAGATATTTGATTCTCTTTTGTGAGAGTGTTTAGTTTAGTTTGTGGAGTAGTAAGTGAGTTAGTTTGGCTATTTCTATGATGCACTTATGTGTGCTTCGACTCAATGAGTGCTTGGCTTATTCTGACTGATGTCTAATTGTATCTATGTTTTTGTTATAAAATATATAGTTTGAAAAAAAAAAGGGACTTCAACCAATACACTATTTATTTACGTATTGATTTTACTACCGCGTAAAGTAATTAATTAACAAATAACAACAAAGGATAACACAACATATAAAATAATTTCAGAACATGTTACATCAAAGATAATTGCTACATCAAAGGAAAACAAAGCATCTAATCTGTGGAGAAGAAATATCAAAGTTTGGTTACATTTCATGAGGGGATGAGCACTAGTTACCATAGAGAAGTAGTTTCACATTTAAAAATTCAGAATACAATAAACAAATTCAGCCAAATACGTTGCGAGAGAAATCAGTATCACCTGCGTAAATATTACAGATCATGCAACAACCTACACATTTTTTTCCCTTTTCCCGATAGATGGAACATTACTAATAGTCGGAATACGAGGCTTAAGCCCCTTCTGCTAGTGTTCCCTTTGATGTGCTGATATAGAGCACTGCATTACACAGAACATATTAAATCAATTATCAATCTAAAACCATAAACGGGCTAAACAAAAAAATACTATAGCTGATCAAGAAACATTTGGCTACAATTTATAGCTTTACCATTATTCCCCCTGATGAAGGCATCACCGTATTTGTTCTTCAACTGGCCATTCACATACTCCTCTGTTTGTTCCATTGCGATATTCATGTACCCATCAAGACATGCAAGAATACCTATTGGGAGAGAAGTAAGCGTGACATGCCTTTGTTAAATGGTGAATCAGGTAGAGCTCGTATGGAGAGTATCCATGCAACCCCATTCAACTATTATACAACTAACAAAACAACAGTTTTTAAGAGACTCATTCTTAAACAGTCCCAGGTATCAATCAAAACAAGTTACGATGAAACCCATCATCACCTTTGCACCCTACTACGCCTAGTATTTTCCACCTGTGCAACTTGTTTATTTAAAGTTTCAGCATTATTTAGGTTGAATCAAATCAAATGCCTTTTGAAAGTAAAATTTACAGTCTAGTATTCCTATCAAGGTTTCCTTGTTTACTGCCTAATACTTCTATTCAGGTTTATCAATTGCATTGTTTGGTTTTGTGCAATATACAGTTTACGTCTGTTCACGCTGAATAAGTTTATTCTCTCTAGCAAGAAAAACAACTGAGAATTGTCCTTACCCTTTCATCCAGCACCTTAAAACACTTAATTAAAAGGATTCATTCATATACAAAAAATTAGCAGAGCAGAAATGCCGATCATAAACATTTAAATGGCATTAGGTCCATTTTAACATTTTAATAGCCTAGCGATAGAACTCCTAATAAACTTCTCGAATTTAGGACTTACACACCTCTTTCAAAATTGAATATCTCAAAAGTCAAATCTAATCAAACACAACCCTATTCCTTCCAATGAACAAATCATCCCAAAATCACAGACAATTTATCTCATCAAAATTACTTCTTGCTAATATCGATTCGATAATTGCAACAGAACGCATCACCATTTGCTAAAATGTCACACAACCAAGGAAAAAAGAAGAAGCCCCACATGGAACTGCAAGACTCCGACGACATTGAACACTTAAAAATGCCACAAAATAGTTAACAGAAACGCCGACCAGCAACGAAGAGAACTTAAACAAGTTAAGAACATAAACAAGGGAGGAAGCAAATGAAACCGACCTCTATAATCAACTCCTGAGTTCAATTTCACTACAACAGGTCGTCCGCGTATTGATTTGAGAAAATCAGCCGGAGTTTTTGTGGTCGATGGTTTGTCGGCCGCGGTACTCATTTTTTCTCCAAAAATAATCAACGAATGCTACCAAGAAACCAAAACAACGCAATCAATTTCATAAGCATAAGCCAAGATAGTCTTCCGAAATCAAAACGTAATTGATGGCTTTCTAATCAGAAGAAAATTTGAGAAAACTATAACAAATGTAACTAACCAAGTTCAACAAATTTGTCGGCGGCGCTTAGAATCGGCGACGGTGGCGATTTTGGCGGAGTAGTTGATTGCTGTACAGTGGGAGGAGGGGGATGAAGTAAGGAGAAGCGAAGTTAGGGTTTGGGTTTTAACTGTTAAGTAAACATGTCGGGCTGGCAGGCCGGGTATCCGGGCCAATAAGGTGCAACAGTCCAGATCGGCCCACACTCTCTGCGAGCTGCCCCGCCGGCCAGAAAATGTGGGACCCTCATGGAATTAATAGAATAGAAAATTATAAATATATAAAAAAAATACAAATTATGGAAAATAATATATTATTTGTACAAAGAATCCCCTTATATACCTCATTTTAGAATGCGCTGAGTCCAAATTGCTGCGTCACATGCTTCGTAATATTATGTGCCAAAATATTATGCTTTGTAAAATGACTCCAATAAAAGTTACTAATTTCTTATACCAATTAGCTTAGGTTCGGATTGTCATATATGATATAGTCGTCAATAGCGGCTCATGAGGAACCGGTTGTGATCCGGTCATTACTACTTTATGAAGAGGACCAGCTCGGCATTGTGGTAGTCGGGCGGTTGGGTGAGTGTCCGGCGAGTGGCGAATGCTCGACATGAGATAAGTGTCCGGTATGAGGAGTGCCCGGCGTAGGTAGTGCCCGGCATGTGGGGTGCCCGACACTAGATACTCGGCGGAGGTGCCCGGCGCAAGGCCCTCGGTGACGCGTGTTCAGCACGAGGTGCTCGAACTAGGATGATGCTCGGCGGGTACTCGACCTTGGAAAGTGCTTGGTGGGTGCTCGGCCTTGGGAGGTGGCCGGTGGTCCTCGTACGCCCGGCAGCCCTCGTATGCCGTCGAAGGGGCTAGAACCTAAAGATGGCTTCGGGATCAAGTTACGAAGGAGTTGGTGGCGACAAGGACTCTTGCAATTCGAGATGTTCTTGACCTAATTAAGTAGTTCACGCAAGAAAGACTTCTTATCCCACTGGGACTCTTCAATTTTCTCCTATAAAAGGGAGCAGGTTCATTCATTTTACACAACACACATTCACGAACTATCTCGTTACTCTGCCGTTTTCTCTCTAGACCATCACTGACTTGAGCGTCAGAGTGTTCGCGCCGGGACCACCCCGGCGTGCTTTGCAGGTACCGACGATCAGGGAGACGCAACCCGGTTCGAGAGGAGCGGTCCAACGGTTCGAGAATTTGTGGTATAACAATATATATACACATATTTAATATATTTAAATTATTCTATATAAATTTATTTATTATCTTCTTTCTATAATGTACCTATAGTCTTATTTTCCAAATTTGTCCACATTATTCCCTTATGTGTTTTAAATAAAATATTATGACTAAATTTAATGATGTATATAAATTAGTTTTAAAAATTTAAAATAATATTGTTAATTCACTTAGTTCTTTATTATAAATTGTTATATATTGTTTCTTATTTATTATTTTCAACTTCAACAAAATATATAAATATTTTTATGTTTAATTTATTGTTGTACATTTAATTATTTTACCAACCAGTACAAGGGTATTGTACTAGTAAAATAGGGATTATGATAATGATGTCTAATTAGACTATGTCTGGTAAACATGGGTTAATCGATATCTTATGATATAGTTATAGCTTGGCTAAATTGGACCGACGTTAAATAATTCAGGTCGACCGAATGAATAATGGGTCAAGTCGACTTATGGAAAATATGTGGGTACAAGGGAAGTGGGACGAGTCGACTAAAGCAATGATGGGCGAAGTGTTAAGGGATAAATGACCTAAGCTACTAGGATTTGTCGACAAGACATAAGACGACCTATAGGAGGATGGAGCTAGATAGTATCTCGCTCGAAGATCCTACTTACTGATACTCATGAGGTGATGTAGGGAAAGGCGCACGAATGGGAAAAAAACGAGTAAACGAGATTCTCTCTCGTAAAACACGTAAAAACTCAACATATCAATTCTTATTTCATATTCAACTCCCTAATAACAAAGCATAAGACCCTTTAAATAAAGCCCATAAATTAAACCCTAGCTTATTCTTCAAGCTACTAATTATTAAATAATATAATTGAAATAATAATAATAATAATAATAATAATAATAATAATAATAATAATAATAATAATAATAATAATAATAATAATAATAATAATAATAATTCTATTATTCTGCACCATTTTCCCCCGGTTGAACAGGATTCGGCCTCGAATCCGACCCGTTCTCGTTGGAGTCGTCCCCATGACAAGAATACTCCCGAAATTTTCCTCGATCGAACACGAATGTCGAAGGTCTTCCAACAACCTCGAACGTAAAGATAATTTCGGTCAAGGCACATGTACACGCCACCAGACGCAAAACCTACACAACTGAATGAAAACAAAATACACCACCTCGTTTGCTGCGCTCAAATCCATAACAACAGCCAAGCATCCCGTTGTTGGGAAACTGCGCGAAAGGCAATCGAAAAATGGCCCACCAGTTATCGTGCATCGGCTTCGGCCCTGAAAAACCATCTTTGGCCAAAATACTCACAAAATCGGGTGTAAATGACGGCTTCCCATTCGAAGACTTAATCGTTGCAACATTCCATATGGGACCTGTCTTCGTCACCGGAGGCTCATCATCAAAAATCGGCGGACCGTCGTAGATAAGGCACACGTCGGGCTCCAAATCTGGGGAATTACTGAAACTCCAGCCCGTTCGATGATGCTCCTGCTGTTGGTCGACTACACTTGTGCGACAATGGACGAAGCCCGGGGACTCATCAACGTCAAAGCCTGCTGCTTGTTGTACATGCCCAACACATGGAATAAATCCATCCCTTCCCTGGTCCCAATAATTGGAATTGGGCCGCCTCTGCGCAGGCCCAAAACTGTGAAGAAAAATCCCGAGCTCTTTGCGTCTCTGCACATCATTTTTTCTGTGCACATCGCCCAAATCGCAATACCTGCCCAAAACGAGTAAACGAGATTCTCTCTCGTAAAACACGTAAAAACTCACAATATCAATTCTTATTTCATATTCAACTCCCTAATAACAAAGCATAAGACCCTTTAAATAAAGCCCCTAAATTAAACTCTTGCTTATTCTTCAAGCTACTAATTATTAAATAATATAATTGAAATAATAATAATAATAATAATAATAATAATAATAATAATAATAATAATAATAATAATAATAATAATAATAATAATAATAATTCTATTATTCTGCACCATGAGGGCCACTTGAAGGACTGCGACCTACTGGCACTTGGTCAACACTACTAGAAAGTAGAAATTCAGAAACGGAAATTATTGTTGCTTAAGGGTATTTTTCTGTTACTAATATACAATAAGAACAAACAAATTCCGTTTCATAATTGGTTAGTGAAAACAGGGTGGCTAATGCTCGGAAATAGAAAACAGTTCGTTACTGTTTGCAACGATTTTTGCAACAGACAAAATCGTTTCTAATAATAGAGTAGTAGCAACCAAATCTGTAACTGATATATTTGTTTCTAATATTTACTACCGACAACCAAATCAGAAATGGAAATGTCTGTTACTAATTTATTACATTAGCTACGATTTTTGTAATGAAATATTATTTTTTGATTATTTTTATTATCATTCAAAAAATCTAAAATTCAGTAGGTAAAATCTATGTTTTAATAGTTGCAAATTTGATTAAATTATATTTTTTATATATAACAATTTACAAAATAAGAGGAAAATAACAGAATAAATTAAGATGAAGAACACAGTAGCAAAACATACACAATGTTATTCATTATCAAACATGATTTACATATCAATGTTCTATCACATAAAAAACAACAAACAAACATTTCTATCACATAAAAAAACAACCAAACATATATCCTTTTTATGTAAAGCCCCAACGCTGCTCAATCTTTATGTACTGTTCTTCTGCATCTTTCAATCCAATTGTTCTCTCTATGATAAAATAAAGAATAATATTATAAATATATTCATTATACATATATTAAATTATATGTAAATATAATTATAAATAGTTAATTAATACAATATAATACCTGTAAATGAAAATCATCTTTGATGGTAATTTCAAGTCCACACACTCTATATTTTCCAATATATCTGGTTGAATGCGTGCATTTATGTCAACCAATAAAAGAACTCCATCGGTGGCCGACAGTTCAAATCTAATCCCATAGGTTATGTGGCACGACATATTTTCTTATCTGCATCTTTTGAATCGATTATGTAAAAGAAAGAATTTCCTACATCGCCAGAATGAAAAATAGCTGAATAAATCTTTTTTAATCGCCACTAAGAATGATGAAGAAGACGTGTGTGATAGTGGGAGTCAGAGTAGTTAATTTAAACATAAATAATTAACAGATATAATTTTTTTAAAAATAGTTATTATCTAGGTATTAAATTGCGCTATTCCATATATATGTGCTTATAAAGCTCTTAAATCTTTATTTAACTATCATTAATTAGAAAATACACTTATTTTAACATGAAACTATTATTTTCATGTTATAAATAAAGCTACTGAAATTGATATTTTACCTTTTTTTTTAAAAAAAAATTAACAGAATACAAATTATTACCCCTACTATTATTATAATGTGTTTTTTATATTGTTTTAAATTCCTATATATTTTAAATTAATAAAATATGAACTATTAAAATAGGAAATTATTATTTTTTCAGACATTCTGACTAGGGTTTGTATCGGATCCGGGCACCAAATCCATTGTGATAACGTGTTTTGTATATTGTTTAAAATTCCTATATATTTTAAATTAACAAAATATGAACTATTAAAATAGGAAATTATTATTTTGATGTCATTAAAAAATTTATTGAAATTGATATTTTACCATTTTTTTAAAATTAACAAAATACAAAAAACTACCTCAACTATCATTATAACGTTTTGTATATTGTTTCAAATAAATATTTCTTATATATTTTGAATTATCAAAATACAAACTATTATGGTTAATGTAGGAGATAAAATATACAGATAGATCAATCTATCTTTTTACTAAGGATCATGTATATCTATTGTATAAAATAAATTTTAATAAAGATTATACATTCTTCTAAATCTTAATAAATTTATCCGTATACTTCCATTTCTTTCATTTGTTTTCATAGTTTTCTATAAGTGTTATAACTTATATTTACATATTTTGCATATTTCTTCCTAAGATAATATATATAAATTCAAAAACACACATGTATTAGAACAATCAACCAAAAAGAAAAAAAAAAATAGTAATAATAATAATAAAAATAGACCCTGAAGGAAATTTTGAGTTAGGGTGATTAAGTTCTCGAAGCATGCTGCGAATCATTTCACTTAACTCTCGACTTAATTATCTAGGTCCTTTCTTGCCTGACGTTTCATTATGTTTTTAATTTCAGCAATTTCATCATTGGCTTGACGCTTTATCTCTGCAATCTCGTCAGCCACTTTTTTAGTCCCTTTATTGTTCAAAAGTAGTATATATGACAATCACTTTCGACATTAATCATCATAATGAATCTTTTAATTGAAATTCAAATTTCAATAAAATCTTCCTATGTACATTTACTTTCAACAATTAATTATTATTTTTTATTCGAATTAAATCTAGCCAGCTAAATAAAGGAAAATGTGGTTTCATAATAAAACCAAATTAAATTCCGTTGCAAAAACTCATAACCATGGTACCAATTTAAATCCGTTGCAAAATTATGTTACTGATACCGTAATTATGGCACAATACTAATCCGTTATAAAAATTCGTTACAAATGTACTAAATTCTAGTAGTTAACTACGGGAGTCGAAAGAGAGACTTAGTGAGAATTAATGGGAATCTAATCAGGATAAAAAAAATATAACTATGATAAAGATGAGATCAAGATAAGATTAAACTTGTTGTGTGGCCTGATCTTTTACAAAGAAAATATCGGGATAGAAAATAAGACTGGGTTATCATGATCAAATTGTAAAACACTATAACAATTTTTTTTCTTTTTGTTTTTTGGTAAATTACAAACATGAAGAAGTTTTTTAAGAATAAATGGTCTAGATGCATCTAAAGTAGTGTTGACGAGCGTTTTCAGTCAACGGTTAGAATGATAAATAATGAAAGCGCGAAACTGAAAACAAAGGGAAGATATGGCTTAATTATGATTTTATTAAACGGTCACGAGGTCGGCCTCTCGTACGAGGTCGGCACTTGTGATATACTTACAATTCTTACTAGAGATTTCTTACAGTTTTAGAGAGAGATAATAGAGAGAAGGCATAGTTAGTTGAGATTCAAACACCAAAAATAAATGAAGTGGGCTGCTATTTATAGCACCCTTAAATGTTGCACTGTTCACCCGTTTTGTTGCACAGTAATCCTGCAGAGCAGTTCGGCGCCTCCCTGACAGTTATTTAATGCGATTTGAGGTTTCTTCAATCATTACATGTCAGACATTAATGCAAGCATGGGGGACATTTAATGCTAGCAGACTTTCTCGACTAGGCTTGCCTGTAGAGTGACAGGCTATGACAGCCCGTCCCATCACCCAATGATTACCTCCCAAGTGGCGAATACTTTATCGACATTGGGCTCGGCACCTCTTCTCCGATAGGGTAGTTCAGGGTTGCCTGGTCGACACTTCGTCTGAAAGAGTTCACGCGACTCTCGGGAGTCTTCTTTCAGACCGGCACCTAACGAGATCGGTGCGCACCCTACTGAACAAAGTGCTGGGCTCGGGAAACATTCCCGTTAGCCGTGGCTACACAATTTCTCGATTCGGTTCGGCACTTTGGTCATTTCGTAGCTCGGCCCCGACCCGGGGTCCGGCTCTACCCGATTCACCGAACCGGCCCGTTAATATCTGTCCTGGCCGATCCAGATATCAACAAGTAGGAATTTTGAGTAGCCAATATGTGAGATAGACAAACTTGAACTCTTACCAACACGAAGCATGTTCTTTTCTTGATATTTGGTGGCAAAGTTCAGTTGCAAGCCACATTGAATCTTGATTTGGGTCAGGTGAGACAACCATAACATTCAGAGAGGTCATATGAAGAGGATTATGATTTGGAACTTGAGGTTGAGTTGTCCGAGCCTGCATATTTGTAGGTGCTGGATATCTTATATGTCATAGTACCTCTCAGCATCATGGTTGTTGAGTCCACATAGTTGAGAAGAAGGCTAATTGTTGTTGTTTTTGTAGCTTTGAACTCTTCATTCTGTATAATTGTTGAACCTTCATCTCCCTCTCTGAGAAGGAAATGAACCTCTTGTGTTGATGAAGTTAGAGAAGTTTGTTGAAGGCTGCTCATTTGAAGTTAGATTCACACTAGGCACAAATCCCTCAGGATTGACTATGTTTCGAACTCCGACATCCAATCTTGATTCAAGGTTAAGAAACATAGCATAGACTTCATTTAAAGTATATGGTTCAACCCTTGAGGTGACAACAATAGCAGCAGGGTTACATTCACTACCTAAACCAACAAGAATATAGGGGATTTGGCTCTGTTCTGAAAGAGGTTCGCCAGCTATACCTAGGGCATCACAACAGGCTTTGACCTTGCCAAAGAACTCCCTCATTGCAATTGCAGCTTATGTTGCATGAGTCTAGCTTTAGGTAGACCAGAGAAATTAGCTTCCAAGGACAACCATACATTTCTTAATGTGTTCTTTCGACCCATCATAATATGTAGATTATTGCTTAGAGAGGATAACAAAAAAGGACATAAGGAGTTGATCTTGTCCTAACCAAGCTGCATATTCTGGATTTAGAGTTGGTTGAGATGTGTTTTCAAAAGAGATGCAGCGTTATGGTGGAGTGCAATGTGTTGCAATGAAGCTTTCCAAGCCATATTCGATGATAGCACTATAGGTTTGTTGTTTTCATAACAAATAATTTGTTTTTGTGAGCTTGATAGAGATTAACTAATCTGGAGCTTAGATTAACGATGAACGATTGGTTGATAAATGATTGTTTGTGTTTTGTGATGAGACTTATGAGGCCAATTTTTTTAGTGAAATGGTAGATATAAAAACTAAACCAACCCAAAAACTCGAGCCCTGTGATAGATCAAGCTTTTGATACCATTTTAGGAAAGGTAAGAAAAGCATATCGAAAAGATAAAAAGCAAAAAAGCTCAATCAAGG